AAAAAAAAAAAACTTCCTAATTTGGGGTTTGATAGATTAAGCTAAAAATGTAAGTGATAGTGAATAGTGTTGTTCAATCAAACGAGCCAGGCTCAGCTTGGCTCGAGTTCGAGGCATTAATGAGTCGAGTTCGAGCTCAAATAAAACTCATTTATTGACGAGCTGAGCTCGGCTCGACTCAATAAAGCTTGAAAAGATATTTTTTATATAATTATTAATAGTTCGGCTTGTTAAGGCTCGAGCTTGAGGCCTTAACGAGTTGAGCTCGAGCTCGATTTTTGGCTCATTTATTTAACGAGCCGAGCTCGAACACCTTAAACTCGAGCTCGGCTCGGCCCGTTTACAGAGTGTATAAGTTTTGATTTGATTAATGTCAGCAATCAGGCGAAATTGTGACAAAAATAACAATTACTATACCAAAATTATAATGATAAAAAATAAATTATTAGTTGAACAGAAATTCTATGGAGCATCTGATGGCTCACTTATGGAGCCATGAATAGCTTTATGTACTGACACATGTCTAATATGTATTTATTGAAGGACACGTATTAATACACTATTTGTAAATAAGTATGGATGACTCCATAAGCCGAGTTATCGGATGGATCCATAGAAAAATCGGTTAGTTGAAATCGACAAACTATAAGAACTATATTGTACTAGTAACCGTAAAAATCTAGTGGATAAAAATAAGAACCCAGAAAAAATTGATGGAAAATTGCATTTCTACCAAAAAAAAAAAAAATTAACCATCAATCCATGTGAACTCTAGAAGAAGAAAGCATGTAAAATCAGTAAATGTGAAAGAAGACAAAAACGCTATTATATATGCAGACAAGAAAAAGAAAAGGTTTTTATTCTGACATATTAGACGACGTCGCTTGATAGATACAACATAGTCCGGACCCAAAAATCAGAACTCTCAGTAGCTAGCAACAGATGAAGCCATTTCTATGTTGGATTTGATTAGACAGATGACTACTGATTCAACTAGCGAAACATTCCAAAATAGATATTAAAGAAAATAACAAAGTTTCTTGATTTACTGTTTGCGTGCCTAGATTCTCTACTATATATATAGGGACTAATCAGAAAATAAAATAATTTTTTTTTTTTTTTAAAAAAAAAAATATCTTGGGGTAAAGTTAATAATATGCAAGGGGAATATAGTAATTTTTAACTAATTTTTTTATTTTTTTTTTGAGTTGGATTGGTTGGAGATTATGGTCCTGCGAGCTTTAGGCTCAAGTTTTAGTCTAGCTAGCATGTTATTGTAGTTAAGCATTCAATGTGATTTTGATTGAGAACGTAAACTAGTACAACACCCGTGTATTACACGGGTGCTTGTTGAAAAATTATTCTTAAATTTTAAAATTAATGAGAAAACTATATTAAATTTAATTTATTTTTTTACAAAAAAAGTAATATATATTTTAGAATGATATGTGTTACTTATGACTTACATGAGTTATATTATATTAGTTTTTATAATTTATATCATATAACTACTTGAAATATAAATATATTATTTGATAAATAATTCTATTTTTTTAATTAATATTAAAAATAATTTTATTATTATTATAAAGATAAATATAAGTTATATTTTTAATACATACAATATGGATGTTAAATCGAAGCTCATCAAAGGAAGATTAATTTGATATATTACATATGTAAAATTGATAAAAAATACAAAAGTTATTAACTTTTAA